TTTTCTACACAACTGAAGCAGGCTGATAGTGAAAAGGGTTGTTACCAGACTGGTCACTTTTTATCTTATGCCCAAATCATCATGTAGGCCATAACATAACCAACTTGTCACTTAATGAACTCTGCATAACAGCTTTTATATGCTTGAATTTTTTTATACTTGAAATTGCAACCGGGGAAGAAAAAAAATTTCTTACCATTTTTTCCAAGGTTTTTGTCTAAACTTTATTATGGTCTCTGTAGATAATACACACTACAGACATAAGAATAGTCTACAGCATATTACAGCAATATTTAATCTGGATCATGGCTCTGGATCATGGCTCCGGACATTTTGTAAAGATATTGTTTTTACTGGGGTCCTTTTTCTTCTATAGAATTATACATTTCATTACATCCTTAGTCAGGGTTTATTTTTCTTTAATAAATTGCTGAATTATTCCAAATGGGTCAAAATAACATTTTTGATTTGGTGTATCCCTTACAAAGTAGTTAAACTGCCTAAAGAAACATCAGCTTTGATTCATGTAGTAAATTAAAGCTCAAGGCATGCAAGTCTGTGTTTATGAAAGTTCTACTTAAATAGTTTAAGGGCTGGAAAAAAATGTTTTCCCAAGTATTAGGTCTGCTACAATAAACACAATGTTCAATTAAATGATTTAGCTTAATTAGTCTGAGTGCAGCTATAGAGTTGTAATACTGCGCTTGTCATAATTGGCAGGTGAGAATTTTCTAAACTTTCAATAAAAGTGGCACCTTTTATGTCTTAAAGTGGTTGTAAACTCAAAAGGTTTTTAATCTTAATACATTTTCTGCATTAAAGCGGAGCTCCAGTCTCCTGTAAATATAAATAAACACAGCTACTAAAACTGTAGCTGCTGACTATTAAAAAAAAAAAAAAAAACAGCCACTCACCTGCCTCATGATCCAGCGGCGTCCTCACCCCATCCGGGTTCACCGGCAATCCTCTGTGCCCGGCGCCAGTATCTTAAGTGTGGGCACCCGGCTGTTACAGAGCTACACATTGTGAATGGTCTTGCAGTCTTCTGGGACCTGCCATGTTTCCCAGAAGACTGGGGGGGGGAGGAGAAGAGAAGTTCTGATTGCCTAGGCGGCCAGAGGGGAATTGGGAACAGGTACCTGTCAAAATTGGGTACCCACTCCTCAAAGGTTCCAATCCTTAATGGGGAGCAGGGGATGAATCATTAAAGCAGAACTTCCTCTTTTGGGTGAAGGTAAAAAAAAAAAAAAAAAAAAAACGCCTTCCAATATCAGTATACACCACCTCTTTCTCGATCCAGGGCTGTGCCCAAGTGTAGATCATGATACTGCTGTTCCTGGCCTTGCAGGAGACTCTGAGAGCTGCGGGAGCCTCATATAAGTGATTTTTAGAAAAACATGTACAGACCTACATGTCGAGATATTTAAAGGGATATTAACCACTTGAGCCCCTGGCCAATGCTGACATTGCTCTCCTGCATAAATCATAATTTTTTTTACTAGAAAATTACTTAGAACCCCAAAACATTGTATAAATTTAAGGAGAGACCCTAGAGAATAAAATTGTGGGTGTTAAAATTTTACAAATAAATAAAAGTATTGCCAATGTCTTGTTTGCTCAGAAAACAAAATTGCATAAATAAGATAAAAGCATGACAGCGCTCCTTTCTAGCTGCTGGCATTCACAACACATAATGTTAGTATGTTCTTTACTATTTCCCTTCAGTTTTCTTCTGGCCCGCTTAACCACTTGCCCTTCAGAGGATTTTACCCCCCTTCCTGACCAGGACATTTTTTGCGATATGGTGCTGCTTTAGTTTAACTGATAATTGCATGGTCATGCAACGCTGCACCCAAATGAAATTAGTGTCCTTTTTTTTTTCTTACAAATAGAGCTTTCTTTTAATGGTATTTGATCACCTCTGCAGTTTTTATTTATTGCGCTATAAACAAAAGAAGACCAACAATTGAGGAAAAAAAACTATATTTTTGACTTTTTGCTATAAAACATCCAGTAAAAAATCAAATTTTGTCATAAAATTAGGCCAAAATGTATTCTGCTACATGTCTTTGCTAAAAAACAAAACAAAAACCAATACATGTAAATTCATTGATTTACGTGAAAGTTATAGTGTCTACAAATGGCATATATACTGGAATATTTTTTTTTTTTTTTATACTAGTAATAGAGACAATCAGTGACTTATAGCGGAACAGCGGCGGGCATCCTGACACTGGGGGGAACTAACTGCCACTGACATTCCCAGTGACACTAATACAGTGGTCAGTGCTAATAAAAAGCACTGACACTGTACTAATGGCACTGGGCAGGAAGGGGTTAACATCTGGGGCGATCAAAGGGTTAACTGTATGTTGTGTGTGTTTTACTAGGGAAACATGCTGCTTAGTATTGCTCTGCTATGCAGAGCAATACAAAGCAGCATGGCGGTGCTGACGGGGGAGAGATCTGTGTTGTTTACACACAGACCTCTCCCCTTTTCACTGGTCCTCGGCGATCGGCGGGTGATGGCGGGGGATCTCCAGCCGGGAACCGGTGATTGACAGTTGGCAATTGTGCACAACCCTGTAGCAGTAGTTCTGCTATAGGGTGGCGGGGAACTGGTTAACATACTGTTTATATACTTTATTTGTATTTTTTTAAGAACCTAGCAGAAGGGGAAGGGAACAGGTGGAGTGATAATAAGGAGGAAAAGTGGTAATATTCTAGCGTATAAATGGAAAGGTACAAACCAGAGAAGAGAAATGTTGGAGAAGGAGATCTGTTTTTATCATTTGGGCTTGCATCCTTGTGCTGTGAATTTGGTCCAAGAACTCATCTACTAGTTTGATATCCTTTTGCCTTTGGTCATCCTTTTGGTTTAACTGTGGCGTATGGAGTTCTGCTTTAACGTAGAGTTTTGGCATTAAATATTTCCTTTGTTTTAGGAGTGGCAAAAGCTTTGAACGTCTGTCAGATCTTTGCTTCAGTGTGTATCACTGTGGAAAGGAATTTCTGAATGTCTTGCCTTAAAGGTGGCGGTCAGATAAACTATAATCAAGGAGAAATCTATTCAATGCAGATAGAGACCATAGTAAAAATACTTTTTTTTTTTTTTTTTTCTCCCCTAATGGAGGTGGAATTCAATCCATATCCATCCTCTTGAACCATGCAAGATATATCCTCCAAATTATGCATTACACTCAAAAAGTGCCTAACTTTTCCCTGATGAAGTCACGTGGTGACGTAACATGTAGGGCAGGCCGATGTCAAGCTGCTCACCCAGACGTTTGTGAGCCGCCATCTTGTGAGTGACTAGGGAAGCTTGTGTTTAAGGGAACAGCCTTTTTACTGTGGTGCTCCAGTTGGGCACTTTTTATGTGCGTGTAATGTATAATTTTGCATAAATAGCAGTGAATACAGTTGGTGCGCTATGATGGCATTTTCTGGTGAAAATTTGGAGGATTGTGCATGGATCAAGAGGATGGATATGGATAGAATCACACCGGGGATTGGAGGCTAGAGAGTGCAATAGGCTATACTTACCCAGGTTAAAAGGGAAAAAGCGTTATTTAACCTAACGTAATAGGTCATATACAGGAGGTGAGAGTATAAATGTGTGTAGGTGGGGGAAGCACACATGAGGGTGTTTATGAGCCCAAAGTATGAAATTGGTGGATCACCATATTTAAAAGGATTATCTTGCATATTATTTAAAGAATTGATATTTAACTCTGGACTTGACTGTTTGATTGCATAATGTGTTGTATGTTGTACATGGTATATAGTAATATGGTTGTGGTATTGTTATAATTGTTACATTGTATTGTTACATTGCGCAGCACTTTATTTAGGTTTTAAGTCAGTAACATGGTTTGGTGATGCTACACTATGCTAAACATGGCCCTGCCCTAAATTTTCTGAAACGTGCTGCTGCCAACAATTCCAAAATGACCTTATTTTTTCCTTAAAATGGTATATTTTCTCAGTTTAAACATTTGAAATGTTTTCTATTTTCTAATGTGAATAAAATATGGGTTTATGAGATTTGCAAATCATTGCATTCTGTTTTTATGTGAATTTTACACAGCATTCCAACTTTTTTTGGAACTGGGATTGTACTGTGTGTGTATAAATTTGTCATGCTATTTAGGGTTGCGTTATCATTGTAGGAGTAAATAATTTATCTAAAGTCCTGGAATACCAGAGAGACTTGTAGCAGGAAAGGGTACTTTTTCAACCTATAAATACTGAAAAGTGATTGGTAGGTGTGGGTTATTATAGTTTTCACATGCTCATTTGTCTTTGCACTGCCTTGCTGAATAAGCCGGATTATGTGAGTTAAAATATTTCGTCAGCCATAGAGGAATTTTCTTTCCTGCAACCATGGTCAATTTTGATGGGGGAGAATCCCTTCCGCGAAGCCATTGTGTTCTCTTGGCAGACTGTCCCCACCAGGAGAACATAGTGATTACTGCTAGTGACTTTAATAGCCACTAGCTATAATCATATGTAAAATCTGACAGGATCGATCAACTTGGGTCCATTCAGCTGACCCATACATGGTTCGAATCTTAGCTGGTCCCTGCTGAAGTGGTCGAGATTCATACCGCCTATGGCCAGCTATAGTTACTTTAACCGCCTCCCGCCCACCATATAGTACAATGATGGGCGCAAGGTGGTTCTCTCGTTCTGTGAGGATGTCATATGACGTCGTCCCATTCTAACCACGCATGCGCGGCTCCGGGAGCGTGCAGCGATCGGTGGTGCGCTGTGTCCCTCGGACACAGCGGATCACCGATCGATGGAAAGAGCCGAAGATGTCGGCTCCGTCATGTGATCCGCTGTGTCCAATCACAGCTGATTGCATGTAAATAGGGAAATGCCGGTTATTGGCACTTCTCTCCTCATGAGCTGTCACGCTGACAGCTTGAGAGAAGAGCCGGTAATCGGCATTCCCCGGAGGGGACATGTGCATTGATGATCAGTGTGCCCTGATAATCAGTGTAGCCCCAGCAGTGCCACCTGTCAGTGTTCATCAGTGCCAGCTGTCAGTGCTCATCCATGCCACCTGCCAGTGCCCATCAGTGCCACATCAATGCCATATATCAGTGCCTACCATTGCCTATCTGAGCTGCCTTTCGGTGTCACCCATCAGTGTCAGTCAGTGCCACATATCAGTGCTGCCAATCAGTGCCAGTCAGTGCCGCCTAACAGTGCCAGTCAGTGCTGCCTATCAGTGCTAGTCAGTGCTGCCTATCAGTGCCACCTATCAGTGCCAACTATCAGTGCCATATATGAGTGCTGCCTTTCAGTGCCCATCAGTGATGCCTCTCAATGCCCATCAGTGCCACCTACCAGTGCCTCCGCATCAGTGCCACCTATCAGTGTCCATCAGTGCAGCCTATCAGTGCCCATCACTGCAGCCTTATTAGCACACATCAGTGAAGGAGAAAAATCACTTATTTACGAAAGTTTATAACAAAAACTAAGAATTTTTTTTTTTTTTCAAAATTTTCAGTCATTTTTGGTTTGTTTAAGAAAAAATAAAAAAACCCAGAGGTGATTAAATACCACCAAAATAAAGCTCTGTCACACAAAAATTATAAAAATGTCATATGGGTACAGTGTTGCATGACCACGCAATTGTCATTCAAAGTGTGACTGCGCTGAAAGCTGGAAATTGGCCTGGGCAGGAAGGGGCTATAAGTGCCCTGTAGGCAAGTGGTTAAACAAACTGAGGTGGAATTCCTCAGACCATTCTCTCTGCAGATGTTTTGCTTTTGCTTCAGCTTCAGATGTAATTGGTCAAATTATAGTATAATTCAAAATAGACTTTGAAATGTACTTTAGTTTAATCGATTTCTTATTACTCTGTGCCCTCTCGTGTGTTACTCTCATTTTCAGTGAATTGAGAATATTCTTTTTTTTTTATTATTTACAATATTATTTATATAGTGACCCACAAATGTAAAACATTTATTCTATGAAAAAAAAAAACAATGTATCTGACCATCTTGGGCGACAGTTCTGCATTTTTGTTTTTTTATTTTGCCACAGTCCTTTTTCATAACCCCCTTTTAAAATATACATTTTTTTTTCAAATAACTGATATATCGTAGACTAAGTTTCTTTGCTCACAACAAACTTTTTTTCATTTGATAATGTTACAGAAACATTTGACAGATTATACTGCCTCCAGTGGTTAAGTATGTTGAAGATAATACAAAGACCTTTTGCTGACTTAATAGATCATTACAACTCAATGCCAAAAGAACATTAGTGGGATGTTCCTGAACAAGCCTCACCAGTTAACTTTTGCAGAGCTCTGCAACAGGTGTACAGTTGACTAGCATATACTTTGTTAAAAATTAGAGGCATGTGATATAGCATTCCCCAATGCACGGTTACAGAGAAATTAATTTTCATTTTAAATGTATAGTCAGAGCTACAAATATGTTGACATGAAAATCTCAGGCAACATCTCTCTTATCTCCATCAAGTAAACTTTCCAAATTGGATTGCTGGTCTTTTCACTTGGTTTAGATGATGCAATATTATCAAAATAAAGATAATGTCAAAATAAAGTGTCTTTCTGTGAACATTCCAACTCTACTTACACACCATAACACCTGAATCAAATATTTTCTTGGTAATCCTAAAAAGTAGAAAAATAAATAGTGAAGCTTCCTAAAAATAGTTAAGGCGAGGCTTGCCAGACTTATTATGTTGCTCATGTCACCAGCTAGTTGATTGGTGTAGACATGGACCTGGTATAGCAAGAAGTGCTTTCTTACTGGTCCCTTTCAGCAGTCTATTCTGATGCCTGGAGACCATCTTTTTTTTTTCCTCCCTTAAAGGTAACTTGTACTGACTGAATATTGTGGCTGTCATTTCTGATCTTCAGCTACAAATAGAAGTTACTTTGAATTACTGATCTGACAAGTATAGGCAGATTAGAAAATATCTCCTGAGCCATATACAGTCATGGCCGAAATTGTTGGCACCCTTGATATTTTTCCTGAAAATCAAGTATTTCACACAAAAAAGGTATTGCATTAACACATGTTTTGCTATACACATGTTTATTCCCTTTGTATGTATTGGAACAAATATAAAACAGAGGCAGAAAAGCAAATATGACATAATGTCACACAAAACCCCAAAAATGGGCTGGACAAAAGTATTGGCACCCTTAACTTATATATTTGGTTGCACACCCTTTGGAAAAACATAACTGAAATCAGTCGCTTCCTATAACCATCAATAAGCTTCTGACACCTCTCACCCGGAATTTTGGACCACTCTTCCTTTGCAAACAGCTCCAGGTCTCTCTTATTGGAAGGACACCTTTTCCCAACAGCAATTTTAAGATCTCTCCACAGGTGTTCAATGGGATTTAGATCTGGGCTCATTGCTGGCCACTTCAGAACTCTCCAGCGCTTCTTTGCCATCCATTTCTGAGTGCTTTTTGACGTATGTTTGGGGTCATTGTCCTGCTGGAAGACCCAGGATCTTGGACGCAAACCCAGCTTTCTGACACTGGGCCCTACAGTGCGACCCAAAAATCCTTTGGTAATCCTCAGATTTCATGATGCCTTGCACACAGTCAAGGCACCCAGTGCCAGAGGCAGCAAAACAACCCCAAAACATCATTGAACCTCCACCATATTTTACCGTAGGTACTGTGTTTTGTTCTTTGTAGGCCTCATTCCGTTTTCGGTAAACAGTAGAATGATGTGCTTTACCGAAAAGCTCTATCTTGGTCTCATCTGTCCACAAGACGTTTTCCCAGAAGGCTTTTGGCTTACTCAAGTACATTTTGGCAAACTGTAGTCTTGCTTTTTTATGTCTCTCTGTGTCAGCAGTGGGGTCCTCCTGGGTCTCCTGCCATAGCGTTTCATTTCATTTAAATGTCGACGGATAGTTCGCGCTGACACTGATGCTCCCTGAGCCTGCAGGACAGCTTGAATGTCTTTGGAACATGTTTGGGGCTGCTTATCCACCATCCGGACTATTCTGCGTTGCAATCTTTCATCAATTTTCCTCATCCGTCCACGACCAGGGAGATTAGCTACAGTGCCATGGGTTGCAAACTTCTTGATAATGTTGCGCACTGTGGACAAAGGCAAATCTAGTTCTCTGGAGATGGACTTGTAACCTTGAGATTGTTGATATTTTGCCACAATTTTGGTTCTCAGGTCCTCAGACAGTTCTCGTCTCCTCTTTCTGTTGTCCATGCTTAGTGTGGCACAGACAGACACACAATGCAAAGGTTAAGTGAACGTCTCTCCTTTTTTATCTGCTTTCAGGTGTGATTTCTATATTGCCCACACCTGTTACTTGCCCCAGGTGAGTTTACAGGAGCATCACATGCTTGTAACATTCTTATTTATCCGCAGTTGTGAGAAAGGGTTGCCAATACTTTTGTCCAGCCCATTTTTGGAGGTTTGTGTGACATTATGTCGAATTTGCTTTCTTTCCTCCCTTTTTTGTTTTTTCCCCAATACACACAAAGGAATAAACATGTGTATAGCATGTGTTAATGCAATACGTTTCGTGAGAAATACATGATTTCCTGGAGAAATATCAAGGGTGCCAACAATTTCGGCCATGACTGTACTTGGTTAGGTCAGTGAGTCAGCATTGAAGTCATTAGGTCAGCATGACATTCAGGTAAATGGCATTTTCAAAGGGAGAGGTCTGCAATGATCATCTCCATATTTCGATGTCTTCCATTGAGGTACACAGGAGTGTAAAATAGTTCATGACAAGTGGGTTATGTTGCTGCATTCAGGAGGTTTGCACACTAGCTAAACAAAAAAAAAATTACAACAGCCCGCACATAACCCTGCTTCCAAACACCACTCAGCCCTACTGTGGAAAAGCTCAAAGTAATACTAAAAGTTTTGTTTTTTAAATAACAAACATGGTGTACTTTTTGCACAGAGCAACCCCGATCCTCCTCCTCGGGTCCCCCTTCGGCACTCCTGGATCTTCCCCCTTTACCAGTTCCCCCAATAGCAATTTTCTTGCTATGGGGACACTGGTGCAAGCTCGCTCTATGTGTCTACAAGATACAGTCAGCCAGCTCTTTCCGCATTGGCTGTGATTGACAGCAGTGGGAGCCAATGTAATGTATGAAGGTTAAAACCTTCAGCCTTTGCAAACACTTTAATCAAGCTGCTTGAGTTTATCTCATTACAGCAGCTTTCTGCTAATCCTCATCAGTACCCAAAACCCTCTGAACTTAACCACTTGCTGACCGTGCTATAGCCGAATGACCGCTACAGCGTGGTTATCCATGTAAGGGAAAATGGAGCAGCCATTTCTAGATATAAATATGAAATACATTGGTATTGAATTAGATGGCCTAACAACCTATTTCCCTCTCCTGCTGGCTCAACATTTGGCACTTCGCTCCTACTTCCAGTTCAGCAGCATTCACACCACCTATTGTCTACAAGATTATTATCACAGCCTTTGAAGACCTGTTAAACCCCAAGGACAATGGAAGTAACAATAACATGTGGATAACTATTCGCATCTCAATGAGTTACACCAAAGATACAGATGACTCTTCAAAGAAAGATCAGATAGCTAGGTACCACCCACTGTAGAGCATATAAATTGTATTAGAAAGCCCTAGTTAGATAGAGCATTACTTTGAATCCAACACCATGTATTGTTCTGCTCTCCCTGCATGGAGGTCTAGCTACATGCTTGTATAATAAACATCTACTTTTCAATCCGGCTTCAGCAGTCAAAATGTTACTGAAACCCATGTGTTTTGGGTTTCCCCGTCAATCCAGTTCTGGGAGGGTGACATATGACGTCCTCCCAGAACCGCGCTCCCCGCTGCAATGCGCACCCAGTGCTCTCTGTATCAGATTTTATAGTGTTTAGTGAGCTTTACAGAACCCAGGACACACTTCTCCTGTTTTCAATACTACAGCTCTATCCACATAGGATGTTATCTGATCACAGCTCACACTCTGCTGAATGAGCGATCTATGCAAAATGAAATTAAGATAGAAAAAAAATTGATGCCTGTGTATTTAGTGAGAACTGTGATCACTGTGAAAGTGGGTGGTAGTGATCTGCTGGAAGGGGGAAAGGCAGCCACAGGTGTGTGCTAATGAGGACAGCTGATGAAATCCTTCCTGTGTCTTGCTGAATTTCTTAGAAATCAGCTTCACTTGCTGATATGTCGATTTAGGACAGAAAAACCAGTAAGGGCTAAAGTAAGGCCTTGTTCTCAAAATCAAAGGAAGCTTTTATTTTTCTGCAACAGAGGTACATTAATGGTATACTGGTACACAGGGGAGCTGGAATTTAGCAAACAAAAAGGTGAACTTAGCTTTTAATCCTGCTTGTTCACAAACATAAGGCATGATGCTT